TTGAGAACCCGGTTCATCATTCTCATCCCGGATCTCATCATCAACTCGGACCTCAGTGTCTTGGTCATCTTCAGCTTGTTGCTGATCATCATTTTCTTGATTTTCTCCCCCTGCTTCAGCTCGGACAGGAGGGATGGGTTCTTCACGTCTGACAGTAACCCGGATTTGGGCTTCGAGATGTCATGAATGTTCTCATACTCATGAAAGATCACATCTCGACTTCTCACGATCTTCTTATTGATTGGATCCCAAAGTCGGAACCCGAACTCGGATTTTGGTGAACCCAGATAGATGCATTCTTTTGTCTTTGCATCAAGTTTGGCCCTTTCATCTTTAGGGATATGCACGAAAGCTCGGCATCCAAACACCTTCAATTGATTGTAGGCCGCTTTCCGACCTGTCCAGACTTCTTCTGGAATTTCTCCTTCAAGTGGCCTTGATGGTGAGAGGTTGATCAAGTCAACAGCTGTTTTGACGGCTTCTCCCCAGAATGATTTCGGTAACCCGGCATTGGATATCATGCTTCGTACCTTCTCTTCAATTGTTCTGTTCATCCTCTCAGCCAGTCCATTCAACTGTGGAGTCTTGGGGGGCGTCTTCTCAAGTCGAATCCTGGCCGCTTTGCAGTATGCATCAAATGGGCCGCAATACTCACCACCATTATCAGATCGGACCACCTTCAATTTCTTTCCAGTCTCCCTTTCAACCATAGCATGGAATTCTTTAAAGGATTGGAGTACCTGGTCTTTAGTCTTCAACAAATATACCCACACTTTGCGGGAATGGTCATCAATAAATGAAACAAAGTACTGAGCTCCTCCAAGGGATCTTTCCGACATGGAGAAAACATCAGTATGGACGAGGTCAAGAATATACCTGCGTCGTCTTGGTTGATCCGGTCTCACAAAAGAAACTCGGTGCTGCTTTCCAGCTAGGCAGTGCGTGCAACTCTCCAACGCTTGGCCTTTCAACCCGGTAAATAATCCTTTCTTGTTCAGGATCTGTAGTCCTTTCTCGCTCATGTGGCCGAGGCGCTTGTGCCATAGCTCCAAGCTAGGTTCATCTCGAACAGAATTGGCTTCTCCGCCATTGATCTTTCCTTGCATCACGTACAAGGAGACTTCCTTCTTACCTCGGGCCACGACCAAGTTTCCCTTGGCCAGCTTCCATCTCACACTACCGAAGTAGTTCACTAACCCGGCATCATCAAGCTTGCCTACCGAGATTAGGTTCAAACGCATATCAGGTACATGCCTCACATCCTTCAACACAAGTCGGCATTCGACATCTGTGGTCAGAGTTACATCGCCAACACCAACAATCTTGTTGGTCACTTGATTTCCCATCTTCACGACTCCAAAATCACCACCTCGATAAGAGGAGAAAAAACCTTTGTGTGGAGTAACATGGAAGGAGGCACCAGAGTCAACAATCCAGGTGCAGTCATCATATGCAACATTCAAATAATTATCTTCACCAAGGAGGAATATCTCGGCATCAGGGTTTGCAGCCACCGCAGTGGTGCTCTTGTCTTCCCTCTTCTTGGGAATAATCTGATCCGGCTTCACAGAGTCGTTCTTTTCATCATTCTGTAGGGTCCAGCAGTCTGGCTTCTTATGGCCTATCTTTCCACAGTAAAAGCACTTCAACTCATATTTCGGCTTTGACCGACCTCTGGACTTATCTCGTCTGTCACGACCTCTACCTCGGCTTTTGCTTCTACCGCGGGAGTCAGATTTCCCTTTGTTCTCAGCAACATTGGCCTCAGACGTACTCGAAGTACCTCGTTCTCTTCTCCTGGATTCTTCGCCCAGGAGGCTGTCTGTCACGACATCCATCTTCAATTTTCCATCTGGAGTCGAGTTATTAAGGGTCACCACCAGAGTATCCCAGCTTTCTGGCAGCGAGCTCAACAGCAACAATGCCTGCAATTCTTCATCAATTTTCATATCAGCCTTTGATAGCTGATTCACAATACCTTTGTAGGTGTTCAGGTGTTCAATCATGCTCATGTCGTCCTTGTATTCAAGCTTAACAAGTCGGCGAACCAGGTGTGCTTTGTTCCTGGGAGTCTTCTTCTAAATCATGGACTCTAGCTTCGTCCACAACTCATACGCGTTCGTGAATTCGGACACATGCTCAAAGAGGCTTTTATCAATATATTTCCTGATCGTGGCTATCGCCTTCCGACTCAGGATCTCCCACTCCTTATCAGTTTTGCCTGCCGGTCTCTCATCAAGGATAATGGGCTCATGCAGATCTTTGCAGTAGAGATGATCTTCCATCATCGGTCTCCAATAAGTGAAGTTGTCTGCGGTCAACTTGAGCATATCTCCATCATGAGTTATGCCACTGGTCTCCATCTCGTCTCCCTCAGAACCCGTCGAACTTGGGCTCTGATACCACTGTTGGGAATAATCGGTTCCCTCAAGCTCGGCTAAGCAGCCTTTGTGCGGAAGTCAATCAACAAGATCCTGATCTCGGATCTCGGCAATACCTCGGCCTGAACTTCACCAGGTCGGGCAGCGCAGAGGAAAAAATCAAAACAAAAACAAGAGAGAGAGAAGAAGAACACAACCAGATTTAACGTGGGAAAACCTTCTTGAATGAAGAAGTAAAAACCCACGGGACCTAGTCCAGATCAGAAATCCACTATGAAAATAATGGTTACAAATAATCAAATACACCAATGTGGTGGTTAACTCAACCTCTCCAACAATGGTGATAATCAAACTACCCTAGAGGTGTCTCACTCAAACTCTCTCTAGAGATCTCTCAAATGCAAAGCATAAAGCTTTGCTCAAACAATCAAATAATTTTTCTCTCAAATATGTTCTGTCAAATCAGACCTAGCCTCCACCCTCAACTAATGAGTATATATAGAGGAGGTGGAAATTAGGGTTAGGATTTTTAGGAAACCCCTCAAATGGGCTTGGGCTTAGCATTGAAGGAGGAAGCCCAACATAAATGACATAACTTTGCGTCATTTTAAATGAAACGATATTGTTTTGTAGATATTTATTGTTCTTTTACATTCTCTTTCCTCTACAAATTTAGGAGGAGAGTGAAAGAGAAAGTAATATAGAGGAAAGAGAATGTAAAAAATCAATAAATATGAATTGAAACACTATCGTTTCAATTAAGAGTGAATTGTTTTATTTTATTTTTTTACGAAAAAAAATGACACAAAATTATGCTTTTTAAAATGAAAAATATTTTTCCTTATTGCTAAATGTATTGAAAGTTTTGTTGCACTAGATACGAATAAATTAAATTTTATACTAAAATTTGTTCACTCTTAATTTTCTTGTTAATAAATATTCATTAAACTATATAAAGCGTCTACTAGAATTTAAATAAATAAACGTAAAATAATTGACATAGAATGAAATTAATTTAGGATGTGAGATGCTTGAAGAATTGTTGAGTGATTATTATATAGGAAGAAGAAGAAACTATATCAATGGCAGATCCAGAAAATTAATGAAGGGTGGCCACTCAATAATGTCTGGTCTGAAACGCGACTTGCGAGTAGCTGTCGATTAGCTGGGACTGGTTTAGATATATATCTAGACAGATTGCGACTCAATTGGACGGCTGGGACTGGTTTAGATATATATCTAGACGGATTGCGACTCAACTAGATCGATAATGGAGGAAGAAGCAAATGTTCCAACTTCCAATAATGGAGGTTGAGGTGTGAGAGGAGATGAATCAGTATGTAGATGCAAACGATGAGTGTCGAATAGAGCTCTATGCTGTTAGGTTTGGATAATGAAGATGGAAGAGAAAAAAAACTCACGGGAAAATAAAATAGAATGAGAAAAATTAAAGGGATAAGATATCGTAACAACCAATTAGGATTATTACCAATTAATTTCACCGTTAGATCGAATATGTTGATCTAACGGTTATATTTATTTTTATCTTTGTAGGGTTATGATCCCCGTATTTACATAACCATACAAAGATGAAAATAAATATAAAGTATTAAATATGGAGAATCATAATCATACAAAGATGAAAATAAATATAACTGTTGGATCAACATAATCGATCTAACAATAGAATGGATTGGTAGTAATATTGGTAGTAACCTTAATTGATTGTTATAATATCCTACCCCGAAATTAAATTGGGAAAACTTAAATTTTAAGATAAGGATATTTTTGTAATTTTGCATCATATTTTAAGGGTGGGCACTTGCCCCCCTTCTCTTCAACCTATATCCGCCTTTGTATATATGTAGTTATACATATAGTAATTGTACAAATTAAATTCATTTGACTGGAATCAATTGTTTCACAATCATCTGTTTCAAATTTTGTATGTAAACTATCTCATGTCAAAAGTACATAAATGTACAGTTTAATTTTATGGAAATGTTGCTTGTACAATTGTATGCAATCAATGTTATTAATATTAATATAGCAATATGTACCCTTTGAGAAGCCATACACTACAAAAGAATTAAAGTGATCACTTCCTGAATCATGAGTGAACATATATCGCGATGTAAAATCCCAACTTTCTTCGTATTGGGAGTGAATAGCCATGTATACTCTCCCTTACTGATAAGAACATCCAATGTTGCCTTATGAAGTCTTATTTTCAATTTGCTGTATTTGTGATGATTTTAAAAGTGTATATAGGGTAAAAATTCAAAACCATTTCAACTTTATATTGTTAACTAGTCATCCAATATATATGAGAAAGTAGAGTCATAGATATATGGTTAAACATATGTCATATCCTTCTTCATGCAAGAAAAGCAAAGACAAAAGGCAAGGCAAGTCAAGCGTGGCTTCATGTAGAAGCTCCACAACGATAAAAGGTTACCCTTTTTCCTCTCTCTGACTCATGTCGAGCATAGTGATAGAACATGTATGGCACCATTCATATGTTACCCATACATGGCATAACAAAAGAGATATGCAAATGTATCCTACAAAGCACTGGTTGCAGGCACACACGCAAAGATAAAAAGGCGACCATCATAGCAATCAAAAGCCCCCTCTCACTCTTCTCACTTTCACCACCAAGCAAGGTATAACAACAGCTTTTATTAGCTTTAGCCTCTAGCTAGAGATGAGAGTTCCCATTTCCTCATCCCCACAGCCAAACCCAAAACTCACCCCAAACGTTGTCATCCACACCCCACCCAACATCATCATCAACAACAGCAACAACAACAATCATAATAATCCAACCTTGTGCTACGAACCCACCTCTGTTCTTGACCTCTGCAGGAGTCCTAGCCCTGAAAAAAAACCAACTGTCCCAAAGCCAGACCCAGAAGACCATCTAGAGCTGGAGGATCATGTGTTGCCTAATTTGGATTGGTGGGATTCCATCATGAAGGACTTGGGTTTACATGATGACCCTAACACACCCCTTTTGAAGAGTACTAACACTGATAACCTCAATTCCAATCCATGCATCCCTGATTTCCCACCTTCTCAAGACCCACCCTTTGATCACACACCAGATTTCACCACTCTCTCTGAAATTTACTCCAATCATAACCTGGCCTACAACTACAATAATAGCACTAATAATAACACTTTGGACCATTTGGTACATGACTTCAATCACCACCACCACATCAACAACAACAACAACAATAACAATAACAATAGCAATTGGGATTTCATTGAAGAGCTTATCCGTGCAGCTGATTGCTTTGACAGCAACAACCTACAACTTGCTCAGGCAATCTTGGAGCGGCTTAACCAACGGCTACGATCGCCTTCGGGTAAACCGCTCCACAGAGCAGCGTTTCACTTCAAAGACGCACTCCAATCGGTTCTCTCCGGTTCGAACCGGACGACAATTCCGTCGCGGCTTTCTTCCATGGCGGAGATCGTGCAAAACATCAAAACGTTCAAGGCGTTCTCGGGAATCTCACCGATCCCAATGTTCTCCATCTTCACAACTAATCAAGCACTCCTGGAAGCTCTCCATGGCTCATCCTTTATGCACGTCGTCGACTTCGAAATCGGCCTTGGCATCCAGTACGCTTCTCTCATGAAAGAGATCGCCGAGAAGGCCGGCGGAAACAACAACTCGCCGCTCCTCCGCATCACCGCCGTCGTGCCGGAAGAGTACGCCGTCGAGAGCCGCCTAATCCGTGAAAACCTCAACCAGTTCGCGCACGATCTCGGGATTCGTGTCCAGGTCGAGTTCGTGCCGCTTCGTACCTTCGAGACGGTGTCGTTTAAGGCCGTGAGATTCGTCGACGGCGAGAAGATAGCCGTACTGTTATCCCCGGCGATATTCTGCCACCTCGGCTCCGGCGGCAGCGGAAGCAGCACCGCCGCTTTTCTGGCTGACGTCCGGAGGATATCTCCCGCCGTGGTGGTGTTCGTCGACGGCGAGGGGTGGACTGAGGCTGTGGCGGCGGCGTCGTTTCGGCGCGCGGTGGTGAACAGCCTGGAGTTCTACTCGATGATGCTGGAATCGCTGGATGCGTCTGTTGTGTCAGGGGGAGGGGGCGATTGGGTGAGGAGGATCGAGATGCTTCTGCTGCGGCCGAAGATCTTTGCGGCGGTGGAAGGCGCCGGAAGAAGGGTTCCGCCGTGGAGGGAGGCGTTTTACGGCGCCGGAATGAGGCCGGTGCAGTTGAGCCAGTTCGCGGATTATCAAGCAGAGTGTTTGTTGGCGAAGGTGCAAATCAGAGGCTTCCACGTGGCAAAGCGACAGGCTGAGTTGGTGCTCTTCTGGCATGAGCGGGCCATGGTTGCCACGTCAGCTTGGCTCTGTTAGAAGCTTACAGTGCAGACAGAATTTTAAGCATCAATTTTACCTGTATTAGATATGAACTTTAATTTCAAGCTCGCATTAGCAAGAATGCAGCTTTAACTTTAATTTTGTTTATTACGGAAAATTAATGATACTAAAAAAAAATAATTATACTCATAATCACTTTTTTCTTATCATCTTTTTCAAATACTTTTATTACAATTTGATCAAAATCAAATCAATGAGTTTCATTTAATATCATTTTGTAACTATTGATTTGATTTTGATCACAATAGTAAAAGTGATTGTAAGTTGTAAAAGAAAAGTGCTTGGAAGTACATAAACTTGTATTTGTTACGGAGCGTTTTGCTTTTGTGTAATATAGATATTTTTTTTAGGGTGTCTTTTAATTTGTTAGAGAAGAGATATAAGTACCAAAAAAAGAAGAAAAAAAAAGAGATTTGTAAGTCTGCTGCTTAAAGTTCCATCTTGTTATCTTAATGAATATCGCTGGCTTTTCAATCAAAATATTTGGGAAACAAATAGCTCTTTCTATCTCTATGCGTTGTGGTATGGAGTATTTTGCTGCAAAAGTGAGATATCGAAATTCACTACCATATATGATAGGCATATTCAGTATGGAATAACAGTTGTTAATCCACTTTGGCTAATTGTAATGTTTTTTCTCCACTCCATAGATTTCTCGTTTGGTTATTAACGGTATGTAATATGTTCTCGAAACCAAACTTCCAGGGTTGTTCGACGTGACATGATCACATGAAGATCTATAATTCTGGATAAGAACATTCTTTGGCACTTCAGGTGTTACTCAAGCATCTGGAGAACGCAAAAGGAAGAAAAAGAAGCATCCCCAACGATTTGTGCTGGTAGCCTGATAGTTTTATGCTTTCTGATTATGTGAGGAGCATCACTTCCAGAATTATCCTTTATTTTTTGAATTTCTTTTACCATGTTGTTGATAGCAAAATTATACTTTTCTGCCAGATGAGGGTTTTGAAAATTTCAAGATTTTAGATTGGACTTCAAAAAAGCAAGACAGTAGTATTTCTCATAGTTATTAAAACCGGAACGACCTGGCCGAGTCGATCCGGGAACCGGTAAATCGGTCATATATCCGGTCCGGTTGAAGTAACGGACCGGTCATGCATCAGAACCGGTGCGACCTGATCCGACCCGGTCGATTTTCGTGAAAATTGGTGATCCGGTCAGTTAACCGGTGACCCGACTCGGTCTTTAAAAAAAAAATTCAAATTCTTTTTTTCAAAAAAAAAATCATAATGGATATATTTGAATATTTTTTTACTTATTGAGTTACATAAGTTATGTACCTACAACACTAATATTATCTCAATTGTGCATTATGCACAAAATTTTGATTTGATTTATAGTTAGAGATGTCATTTTCTGAATTTAAAGCCTCGTATCACGATCATTATATTTGTATTTGATCCTTTATTGGATAATAGTATGTGATTTATTATTTTTTATATTAAAATATTTGAATTTTTTATTACTTTTTTAGATATTTGAGTATATTTATATAATTTTAATTAAATTATAAAATTGCATATAATTACCGAGTCATGCGGTTGAACCAGTGACCCACTGGTTGAATCAGTGACCCACTGACCCAGTACATCAACCGGGTCAATGACCGGACCGGTTTTAATAACATTGGTATTTCTAGTTTTCTACACATGTACGAACTCGAAGACGCCTGAAGTGATAGATTTAAAATTTCAGGATAATATATATAATCATAAAATATGCAAACAATACCAAATCAAAATAGAGATTGCGTGTATCTTGTTATTCTATCACAAAATCGGAGAAAAAATGAACTATATGTCAGAATTTTTTTCTCTACGACTTATTCCAAAAAATGGCAGCCTCCATACATGACGGCTCATGGGGCTTTACCCCAATATAAATAGGCTAGAGAGAGGACCTAGCCAGATACCCTGAAAAGAGTTTGTGTAACATCCCGTAGTACTCCGGTTGTTAACATACATGATATTTAGCATACACAACGGAAGACTTTATTTTAAAAAACATAATAAAGCGTCTTATAAAAATACAAGTAAACTTTTCCAAAATATTTTCTAAAACATTTTCAAAGCGTTCATCTGATATTTTGCATTAGCGTAACATTAACATCTAAGTCTACTACTTAAAGCCATCGGCCATCACTAGTGGTCGTTGACCATCCGAATATGACCTCAAGTGTCATTCCTGACGAAGTCTCACGGACAGCATAACGGTTGTATTTCGGATAACTGGGAACATGGGTCCCACACATACAATAACATTATAGATACAGTAATTAAACAAACAGCTCGCAAGTCCCACTCGGACTGCGTTCCCCTCTCAAGGTCAATACAAACAATAAGGCTCCATGCCCAAATAACTGAATCCATACATCAAGCCTAGATTAACTTCCAAAACGTCTAAGCATCAGTAAATAATCCATGGCTCTAATACTACAGTCATGAGCCTAAATAAATACATACTAGAATCTCAACATAAGATAATTGGACATGCTAATAATTATACATGCCATCACAAAGTCTAATCATAATATAAATAATCAGCATCGTCATCCACTACTCCAAGGCGGGGGCCTTGCCCCTAGAAGTATCTACACTACTCTGAGTACCTGAAATGATGTCCCCAAACGGGGTGAGATAACACATCTCAGTAAGCTCAAGGTTCATAAAGGATCTTCTAATCCCCTGAGCCCACTTCCTGCATGACAAATCAGATATAAAGTATATAATACAGGCATACAACATAAACATAGCATCATCATATCATCCTTGTGTAACCCCAGGGTCAAAGCCATAGACGGTTACACATGTGTGACTCCAGGGTCAAGCCATAGACAATCAACACAACCTCAATATGAAATAGCTCCCAGAGTCAAGTCATAGGTAGCCTACATACCATGATCACTGGCCAGGATTCTCATAACATATATCATCAGTGCATCATCATAACATCAAGAATCATATAACATCTATATGAATGTGAATGAATGCACATATACATTACACCACATACTTTCATACAATACAACCATAATGCCCACCATCATGGTGGGGGCCACAAGAGAGAGGAACAACCAGAACCAGGAGCTTACCTCATTGAGCTTATCACAAGCCCAACTCCAACAGTAAAACACGTATGCTCCAATAAACCCTCAAGTGCCAAGTCCTCTAGGCAAACCTAGAGCAGGAATCATTTACATCATTAATACTCAATCACTTAATGATTCCACATTTCATTCTTACATGTCAATATTATACTCATTACAAGTCTAGACCAATTATTACATAATTATGTATTTTAGTGTATTATTACAAGCAATCTCCATCTTCAATCACTTACATAACTTAGAATTGGCCAATTGTCACAGCCCTCCTACCTTAGCAGGGTAGGATTCCAGGCATTGGGATTTTTAACTGGTAGTACAGTTCAACCCATATCTACTCCCTACCCTCGTCAGCACCCGGATGTTACGTACCCATCAACTTCCGCCTAGTTCGCCCTTGAACCACACTGAATTGGGAGAAAGGCCCTACTTTGATACCACTTGTAATGCCCTACCACTTGCTGGATCAATAACTATCCCCACAAACCAACACATGAATTTTCAGTATACTTTGTCCTCACTCACACACTTCTTGATAAACTTCGCAGGAGGTCACCCATCCTAGAATTGCTCGAAATCAAGCACGAGTAACTATGAAGTTTTTAAGTTTTGGGCTACCGAAAAGCATATGTATCTTCTTAGTATAGGTAGTACATATTAAATCTTTTAAGTTATCCTCAACTGTACAATCTCATACCTGCACAACCTCTAGATCTCTCTCGTTCGGGTGTTGATTCAATTCATTCATGTACCCTTCTGGTTGGAAGCCTACTAGGAGCTTATTGTCACAGGCCTCCTATCTTAGCAGGTCTGGACTCCAAGCACTGAGATTTGGATTGGTAGTACAATCCAACCTATGCGCCAAAAGACTATCTACTTCCTGCCCCTCACCAGTGCCCGGATGTTACATTCTCCTCCCTCCCTCACTCTTATGCTCACCCCATAATCTCTTTTTCCCTCAAAACTCCACCATTTTCATTTCCTTCACACCATACTCAATCGACTAAGAGAGAAGGAAAGAAAGCAACCATAACCTTCATCCCTTCTTGTAGAGTGAACCATTGTAAGAAACCAAGAAAAAACCTAATTCCTCTCCTTCTCCATAGTTGTGCCCCACTTTCTAGGGGAAGATAGAGTTTTCCACCATTAAAGCTTAGGGGTTTTGGTTTCTACTAGCTTTGGGTGGTTTGAGATAAGATTCCATGGTTTCTTTTTAGGATTTTGTTGGATTTCATGAAATGGAAGTTAAGATTTTGATTATGTGAAATTAGGGGTTTTGGTGTTGTAGTGTGAAAATGATGAAATTGACACTTGAATCCTTATCATGATGTGTAGGAGTGTTATTGGTTGTGTAGAAATTGGATTGAAACAACCTTTGATCTAGGATTAGGTGTTCTTGAAATCTCAAGAAAAGGGTAAGTTCTCAAAGTCTATGCTCTTGAGGAATTATGAGTATTAACTTGATGATTTGTATAGTATGTGTGATGTGAATTGAATTTCCACCTTGTGAATAGTTGAATTAGTGTTGATATTGACTCACTTGGACAAGGAAAGTGTTAGAGAATATTGATTCAAGAGATAAACTCTTGGACCTTGTCCCACTTGTTGTTCCACCATGCTCATTTGGAGATGGTTATGTTTATTGGATGATTGGTTGATTATTAGTTGTATGGCATAGTTGCATTCATATAGAGTTGTTGTGCATTGGTGTACGGACCAATATACAAGCACTAGGGGTCTAGATTGCAAGATTAGTGTACGAACTAATATACAATTGAATGCTTATTGGATGAATTGATTGTTTAGTTCTTTGTCCATTTGAACATATATATGAACTTTCCTTGGAGATTTATCCTAAGAGGTAAGGCTCTTGAAAGTTCTATATGGACACTAGCTTTGAGGTACGACTCATTGGAGTAGTCGTAGTGTACTGAGTTCACAAGTTAAATCAATTTTGTATTGACTCTATTTATATGATGCTTGTTATGCCATGAGTATTAACCATTCATGCAGGAAGTGAACTCAAAGGTGGATGAATCCTCCAAGGATCCTAAGTTTATTAAGATTATTATCTCACCCTTTTTAGGGATTATGTTTTAAGTGCTCCAGGTGAAGGAGTTGGGACTTAATAGGGCAAGAAACCTGTATACTGCTTGGTGTAGCACCTCGTCTGCACCCGGTGTATTATCCTGCAAATGGTATTAAGCGCAATATATTTAATCAAATAAATGCGAAAGCTAAACTTAATTGAATTATGTCTATTCTTATGTCAAAACATGAATAAATTTTTTCCTTTCCTAGTGCATTGCAATTCATCAATCATTTCTTGTCCAAT